GACCTTCTAGGTAGCCTGCAAAGATAGTAGTTTATGTCATGCTCAGAGTCTCCTATTGATTTCGATATAATATTTGCTATATTCATAAAGTATTGGTTAATTTCTTCTGGTGTTAAGTTCAGATTAGACGTATTATGTTTCGTATAGGTTTCTTTTTTAACAATACTCCATATTGTCTTACTTTTGTTGGTGGATTTTGTTAATTATGTTAGCATAAGCAGTACGTTTTTCAGCTTTTATTGCGTGCTTATATTTTTTTCGTATTTGACAATATTTAATCCAATTGTCAATAGTATGTGTTTTTTCTATAAGGTTGCTTTACAATCGTTAAAGTTGTTTTCTTAAATCTCGAAGTTTCCGATTAAACCAATGAATATCACTTTTTCTGCTATTCACGTTTTTTTAAAGGAAAAACAAATGTTGTATTCGTCACACATATATTTCATAAACAAATCTGTCATGTTGTTTGAGTTACATTGGTTATTGTCAAACACAGTCCAATCTTTGGATTTATAATTTTCTCCACAAATTTCTTTATATTTTTTTTCATTAATTATTTTTTTAGTCTTTTCTATAATGTAGACACATTTTTTAAACCACTCACAATAGCAAATATACCCAAATGATCAGATATTACAGGATCGTAGACACCTGTATTTAAACTTTGTTCATTAGTATTAGTAAATATATTATCAAGGCAAGAGCTTGAAGTAAGTGACACTCTTGTAGGCGCTTTTATGAAATGTTTTAAGCCATACATGGTTAAGAAATTTCGTATTTCACAAACATGCCCCTCTGTTTATATTTTCATATTTTTTATAGGCCAAATCAATTAAAACTTATAATTTAGCTTTGAAAACAGTGATATCCCCATTACAGAATCGCTAAAGTGCAATTATCAGAAAACGATTATTTTTAATTTCAACACCACAGAATTCAGCATTCAATGGATCACAAAATTTGTTTAAATCAACAGGCTCAAGTTGAATATGTTTAGAACATAGATAGCTACACCTCCATGTAGTCTGCTTTCTCTACAATATGAAGTGACAAGTTGAAAATTGTCCAAGTTATTCTTTGTAAATTGTCAGAATTTAACCAGTGTTCCGAAACACGAAAAATGTCATTACTTATTATCTTTAAAAAATGCATTTAATTCATCTGCCTTATTAGTGATACTTTGTAGGTACATTTAAGTGAAACACAGAGCATGTTTCTGCAATACTACTATAGTTATTATAGTTATTGTTTTGCATGAAGATAGTTATTGTTTATTGTTGTATTGAAATAACTGTTTAAGAAAAAACCCCATATGAAGAATATTTTTTTATTTAAGAAGTTCGTATTTAAACCGCGGAAATCTTTTTTGGATTGCGCTAGAAAGGTCACCAATGGAGACACTGCGAACAGCGGCCAGATGGTTGGTAGATAGCGAGTCGTGGGTTCGAAACGCTTTTGGAACCGGGAATGGATTCAACGGACGAAATAAGTAAAAATAGGACAAGATAAGTTATATGAGAAAAGATACAGAAATAAACAAAAAGACAGATGGGTAAAATTACCAAAGATAAGACAAGATAGAAACAGGGTGTCACTTAACTTTTTGGGGCTTAAGGAGAAAATTAAGAAACCATAGAAAAGAAAAGAAATAAGGAAACACATTTAGGCTCAGAGATCAAACCCAAAAGAAAGGTATTAACAGTTAATAATTAAACAAATTGGTCAACACACTATATAAACAAATAATAAAGATATTAGGTGGACTTCGTCCAGCTACTTATCTACAAAACTTAATCAGCCTGACCTTACTTCTGGTCGAAGGTGCAATAATAATTTAAATATAATAAGCAAATATTCAGAGTTATTGTTATATCAGGAAACTTGTTAGGAGTCGACAAATAAAAGTCATACATAAAACAAAAAAATATATTCAACTACACAATGATATAGGCGGCTGAATGTACACAAAAGTAATAAAAATGCACCATCAATTTTTAAATGGTTGTATACATATACAAATAAACAGTATTATAATTATTAGGAAATACCTTTACAAATACAATATAATGAAATCATAAACAATTTAAATTATCAGCGAAGAGAGTCTGATACTATATAAAAATATTCTTCTAAAGTTGAATGAAGAAAGTCTCTCTTTGCTGTTTAATGAACATATCTCGAGATACTGGGTACAGTAAATAAAAAAAATTTAATAACAAATAACGCAAAGTTACCTAAAGTTATTTAACTAAACTGATTGAAAGTTCATATGAATTATTAAATATTATTCTTTGAATTCAATAGTTAAATCGGTAGTTAATCTTAACTAAGGGTGAAGACATGGTTGAAAGTAGATTAGCCTAGATAATTAAAGATAATATCATACCATATTATTTGCCCAGATAATTGAAGATACTATTATTATTATAACTTACAGTAATTCTCGATGACTGCTACACTGCACTGAAGTTATATACTTTAAAATCCACTAGTAAACTAAGTTCCTGTAGCTGGCTGTATACTATATATCACAAAAATTTTATTTCAAATCCTTTATAAAAGGTATATAATAAAATACCCAAATGGGCTATCACAATTACATTACAGAAACGTTTTCGGAATGTTAATTCCATCATCAGTGTAAAGGGGGTATACATGCTATGAGCCACCAAAATATATGGGTCCAAACCCTTTAAATGATATAAATTTACATTTGATTTACAGTATATGTGGTTACAAATTATGATATTTAAGTTACCGCTGGAATTGGTAACATGGCGACGTATGACCCTACATAGGTAAAATGGTCCTGAGACGAAGTATCTTTGAGGACCTGTTGATAACAACTGAGTAGTTGTTTTCAGTAGACTTTTACAACATTACCAAAGTTGGAGTTGATGTACTGGATCAAACTTGTGCCTATTACAAAGAAGGACGGCGTACTAGAAGATGACCACAAGGTATTTTGGTTTCGGATTATCGATGTTGCTGGTTGTCAATGGACATGTTTTATATAACGCTGCTAATCCAGAATCTGGGTTGATATGCAAAAATTCTTTATTGATTTAGGTAAACAGCTAATACACAATCACTTAGTTCGGCGTGCTGTTATGGTAAATATTCCCAGAGAATTGAGAGATTACAATACCAGGCAAGGCAAAGAGCTCCTAAATGTGGGAGATGTTTATATTTGCCCACCTAATGATAATAAACAACCACTTAGATGTAATAAGTGTGAAAAACATAATAATATATGCAAAAATCATTGTGTTACATCAAATTTTTGTAGTAGGTGTAATATTGAGTAGTTATCATCATGTTCATACTTGTAATTCATTAAATTTTATGTCGAAATAGTACCCGTTAAAATGTACCCGTTAAATGTTAAAAACCCGTTTTTGGTTTATACAGTGTTATAATCATAATACTTTTTATTATAATTTGCTTAATTTTTTGTGTATCTATACAAAAAAATCCAAAGGTCAAATATGACCCCGCCATACCTTATTATGTATTTTTGTCTTGCCATACCAGTTAAGAGAATATCAATGTTGTTCTTTGCTATAAAATTTAGTATGAAAATTTTAACTTCAAATATATTAATCCATTTTTTTTTGTTTGAGGCTCTAACCTTTTCCGACACCTACTCCAATATCCAAATCAAGTCGCCACCCACGGTTTGTGCAATCTAATAATCCCACTCCAGAATCAATCTTGGTCAACCTTGAAATACCGCACATAAAAAAACAAACGACTACTATCAATACTGTCGTCCCTTCCCTAGGAAAACAAGACCCTTCTCGCCTTGCATCCCTTCGAGATTGTTTAGCCTAACACATGAGTTAATTTCCCTTCTCAATTCTAGTAGAAACGATAAGTCTGAAGCTTGACAGCGGTGGCTGAAATCCGGGAAATAAAAAGGTGCCAAGCTTGTAAATAAAATATTTAAACCTTAAATTTTGTATGGTTTAATATTATTTATTTATTCATGGGCGTATTTTTGGGCTTATTTCCCTAAATAAGATAATTATTTGACTTTTATTCTTTACTCATTTAATTCTGAAACATTTAATCAAAGAAATGTTTGTTTAATACTGTGTGACATTAGAAATGTAATATTAGGAGAGATTAATAAAATCCAAAACTTTTTATTTATTTTGATTCAACCACTTAGGAATATTAGCATAAGAAAAATACAAACGGTGATAAAGACATACATAGGCATAATATACAAAATATCAATTACATAATAATGTATACAATATATGTATATTTTAATTATTGATGAATTGTATTAAATTGTAATAAAAAAGTTTATAGATTTCAAGAATTCTATCAAGTCAGCTGCATATTTAGATTCTCCTAGAAGTTCTTTTAATGTTTTTAGAATGTGATGATATAGTTTTCCAACTGAGCATATTGAACAGTGAATCAAAATGTGCTTCACTGTCACTTTACATTCACAAACAACACACACTGGCACACTGGTTCCTCTTCTCTCTTCAAACAAGTATTCATGTGTTGTAGAAGTGTGTCCTAATCTGAAACGTGTTATTAGGACTTGATGTTGTCGCTTTAAAGACGAGAAGTTCCATGGGAGGACGGAAGATTTTATTTCTATCAATTTAGTGGTGCTTCTTTCTTTTGGTTTTGCCAAACATCGTGCAATTTTGAACCAAGGAAGGTTTTAAATTTAAATTCACCGTTAGATTTTCCACTGATACGGCCGGATTAGTTAGTACGGACCTAGCTAGACAATCTGTCTTTTCGTTACCATCTATTCCAACGTGTCACGGTACCCAGAGGAACTCTATTGTCAAATTGTTTTGGTATATACGGTATGATATTAATTTAATCTGCTGTAATGTTAAATAAGAGGGATAAATCTGAGAATTTGATGTCAGACAACTAAGTGAATCAGATATTATAAGATATTTGGAAGGTTTTTATTCTAGAATAAAAGTTAGGGCCTTAATAATGGCAAATAGTTCTGCTGTAAAAATACTTGTCCAACCATGTGTAAAAAAACCACTTCCGCAGATTTTGGAGCCACGAGTGTCTTCTCCTGCCTACCCCTCGCTTACTGTCTATTTTCCCCTGGACAATAAATTACAGTAGACGTACTTATCGTGTCTCAATAAGTGGCCTAGATATTTAAGCTTTTTTTGTTATTTTTATTTAGCGTATGGACTTTCACAGTACGATAAATATACAAATACAATTACAATAATATACACATATATATTATATTATATTATTAAAACACTAAAAATAGTAAAAATAGAATGAATAGAATGATTGACACTAAACATTAATGTCCAATTTACATAGCCATTCAATTGCTTCTGGGGAACATTCCGCAAAGTCCTGGAGGTTTCCACGGTAGGCACGATTCAAGCAGTCTGAAACACAATGGCTTATGGTCTGTCTAGATTCTCCGCAATCGCACTGTGGACTTTCTGCACGACCCCACCTGAACAGCGAATCAGCACATTTACCATGTCCGGTACGTATACGATTAAGCCTTGCCCAAATGGACCGGGACAGATTTGATCCGATGAAACCCTGAGTTGGGGTGGATATCTTAATATAGTCCGATTCTACTGTTGGCATCCATCTTGTTGTCCATTGCCTATGTATATCATAGGAATTACCAATTTTTCGGGCAGATCGTATTGGAGGATTTCTAGATCTCAATCGTTGGTGCTCTTTTGAGATGTCTGGGATATCTTGATGTATTGGTAATTGTACGTTGCTATAATTTTCCGGTACTTTTTCACTAATGCTGCTGTACGGCGTAGATATGGTGGAGCAATATTGCTCAGAGTAGGCAGCCATCTCACTGGCGTTGATTTTATTGTTCCAGTAATTATTCTCATGGTTTGGTTAAGTTAGACATCGATTTTGCTTTTTTTGTTTAATTGTATTCACGATTTCTTTCTCCTTTCCGATTCTTTGGATTACCTTTATGTTGGCGACATGTTTGGATTACCTTTATGTATCAGGATATACGAAGAATGCGTCAGTACATCCACATTTCGAATGCTTCTAGTTTTCTCGTGAGCGTCTTCGTCAGCGTCCAGGCCTCCACACCATACAGTAAGATCGGAAAAATGTAGCATTTAACTAGACGTAGTTTTAGGGAAAGAAACAAATCATTGCTTATGAGGAGCTGTTTCATATTACTAAATGCTGCTGTAGCTCGTTCTATTCTCGCCTTAATTTCTGTAACCAGTTCCCATTTTGCATTTACGTTGGTGCCAAGGTACACATAAGATTCTACATGGTCAATTAGTATGTTACTTTTTTAGAGTTGGAAAATCTGCTCATCAATTTTTTTGTGATACAGATTTTGTAATGTTTAGTCCAATTTGGCACGATAGTCTTAGCGAGTGTATATAAGTTGTCCACCTTTGTTTTGAGTCCAGTTTGGGAGCTTTTGTGGATTTAATTTTCGTAAAAATTGTATAGCTTTTGTTTTTGTGGTGGAAAACACAGTTTTGAAAATCCGCACTGTTTTTTATAAACAGCCTTTTCATTACTATTTTAGTGTGCAAAACAATATATTTTTTAAAGGAATATTTATTAGTCTTTTTTTTCTATGGACTTCTCGCGAGGCTTAGTAATGTTAACCAAAAAATATCTGTTCAACAGGAGGTAAACAGCATTTTTAACTCTTTAAGCCGCAAGTTTATTATACTGAACATTTTAAAAGTTTTTTCAGATAATACTATGAAATACTATAGTTATTACATCAGTTACTAGATTTTAAATATACTTTTGTTTTTTCTATAAAAAAAATGCTGTTCAACCGTTGTACCAGAGTTTAATCAAGAAATCATTTTCGTGCTAGTTTCTCTGATCTCCTCTGATTTCCCAAGCACAAAGCCACTTTACAGTCCTACGCACTTTATAACACTTCTTCTTCACGTGCCATCTCCGCCACGGAGGTTGGCAATCATCATGGCTATTCTGATCTTAGATGCTGCTGCTCTGAATAGTTCAACTGATGTGCATCCTGTACCATTCCCTTAAGTTACGCAATCATGAGATTCTTCTTCTTCCTACACTTCTCTTGCCCTGGATTTTCCTTGTATAATCAATTGAAGTAGGTTGTATCTCTCATTACGCTGAACATGCCCCAGGTATTGCAGCTTTCGTGTCTTATGATTTTCAATACTTCCATTCTTTTGTTGATTCTTCTCATGACTTCGTTGTTTGTTACATGCTCAGTCCATGATATCTTCAGGATTCTTTTATACACCCACATTTCAAATGCTTCCAATTTTTTAGCAGTCGACGCGTTAAGTGTCCATGGTTCCATCCCATAAAGCAGAGTCGCAAAAATATAACACCTTGCCAGCCTAACTCTCAAGTCCAATTTTAGTTCTCTTGCACAAAGTACCTTTCCCATTTTATTAAAGTTTGTACGTGCTTTCTTTATTCAAACTTTGATTTCTTTGGAGTAATCGTTTGTGTGATTAATTATTATGCCAAGATAGTGGTAGTTTTCAACTTGTTCTAAAGCACTACCGTTGATTGTCAGGCTTATGACATTTATGACACTGCATTTCTGTAATTCCATTTTTGAGCACTGCTGGCATCGTGTTCACGTGGTTTTCTGAGGCAAATAACCAACATTTTGAAAATACTCCATGTTCAATAACATCCCATTTTTTTTTCTTCTAGAAAAATCTGTTATAAGACTGGATGCCAGTTTGTGATCTATATTCAAGGTATATTGCTTTTTTTCCACTGTTACTTTGCCTAAGAAATTCTTTATAAAGTATGTAATCATTTACTATGGATGCGTCAAAAAGGTAATAAAATAACTTTATTCATCATCGACTACTTTTCGAAGCTACTAAGCAAATCTGTATTCGTTGGTAAAACCAATCAACATCGCCCATATACATATTGTAGTCGTCATGTAGTCATAGTGTAGTAGTTTTTGGATAATTATGCAGATTGCTGGATACGGCCACATATTTTGGGCCACCATCCTTTGACTTATGTACTTACAGGAATATCATTTCAGACAACTACATCCATTTCACCCACTTTTTTTTTCTATTATCAACTAAATGTGCTTTTGAAAAATCGTGTTTGTCTTACTGTTTCACAACCAAATAATGAGCCAGTTTTGATGACTTATTCTTAATAGAAAGTGTAGTAAAAATATTGTGAAAGGACAAGCAATGTGCCCTTTTTTCCCAACACTTTAATTAAACTCAGCATAACTCTTTCCTCTAGAGTATATTTGTTAGTCCGTTTAGGTTCTCTACCTTGATATACCTCAAACTTGATAAGGTAACCTGCTTAAGCTTATGCCATTGCCCAAATTTTTATACCCCTCCTTATGGGTTTCGTTAGCATGTAAAGTAGTCCTTCATTTAACGGCAACCATACTTTCATCAATTGAAATATTTTTTTATTTTCTTTTTCAAATGTAAACCAATAATGCACAAATTCCAGAAAGGCAGTTGAAAGGTGTGTTATAATTATTCTTTTGAAAAGTTTTTAGTTTTAGTTTATTTTGACTGCGAAATAGTGAATAATACTTCTTTCCTTTTTAACCGAATAGTAATTCGACTGTATGAAATTAATTACATTGACAGTAACGGGCCCATAGAGTCTCGAAACTTTACCAATGAGCCCCTTCTCAATAAACTTACGCTCAGCCGTCTATGCCGTTGTCCCTGAGGTCGCAGTAGATTCCGGAAGTGGACTTAATAGTGCCCTTAAGGGCCATTCTGCTCGCTACGCGTCGCTGCCAAGTCGTTTGTATTGCCTTTGTTTTTGGAATGCACCGTCGTGATGGGTTTTGCATAAGATTGCGGAGAGTCAAGTGAAGGGCAAGTGGCGAGGGTGCCAGTGACCACTGGAATTGCTTTATGGGTGACATGAGAATTGAGATTGAAGGTCGGGAGAGAAAAGGGCAAAGAAACTGATTTTTAGGCAAGATTGATTTTAATGTTTAATGTCGTGTGAGGATTAAAGTGAGTGTAAATAGGATTGCAAACCGTCTATGTAGTTGGATAATAAATATAAAGTTAAAATCAAAAAGGGCCGTTTATACAGGGAGTCTCAACATTAGACAATTCCTTACAATTTGATGACTTTTCCTAAATGTATTTTTAATGGATTTTTTTTTATTTTAAGACATATGAAAAAAGTATCTGAAATATGTTAAAGTTTTAAGACAATTTAGTGAGGTAATTGTTAAATTATCAGTGGTTTTAAAATTAAGGTTAGATTTCTAGAGTGTCCTTAATACGAGTTAATTCGTTTATAGCAAGTCATAACATAGTTTTTTTTTATTTCAGATAGTAAATAATAAATATTTAAAGTTGAATTTTAGACCATCTGAAGATCAAGTGCGTGCGTCGACTGTTGAAGTTATTTTGATCATCTGAAGATCACAGTGCTGTGATCTGTATCATCTGTGAGTCAGCATACCTCTTTGAAACTATAGGTAAATATACTAATATCCTTTTTCTGTTCCATTAAAGCGATAAAAAATTACAAAAAGAGTTTAAAACCAATGCTAATATTTAATCGAATATGCAATCAGTATCACTTCGTAATGTATAGCTGGTTGCTGCCATAACACAAGTTAAATTCTTCAACCATTAGTAATTATTCTTCTCCTTACGGTGCCTTATCCTTAAGGACGTTGGCCATTACATTTGCCTATTTAATCTTATTTGTAGCAGCCCTGAATAGTTCTATGGAGGTCATCTTCGTCCATTGCCGTAGGTTTTTAAGCCAACAGTTGCGTCTTCTTCCTGGTCCTCTTTAGCTATTGACTTTGCCTACGATTATAAGTTGGAGCAGTTTATACTTTTGATTTCTTATGATGTGACCAAAATATTGTGTTTTCCTTTCTTTTATTATAAGCATAAGCTCTCTTTCCTTATTCATCCTCCGCAAGACTTCCGCATTTGTCGTATGGCTCATGTAGGATATTCTGAGCATTTTACGGTAACACCAGAGTTCGAATGCTTGGATTCTTTTTTGTGTTGCTTCTGTCATTGTCCAGGCTTCAACACCATAAAACAAGGTGGAGAGAAACATAGCACTTAAGTATTCTATTCTCAATGAGATGCCCAGCTGGCGGTTGCATAGAACTTTCTGCATTTTGTAAAACATTGTACGTGCCTTTTCAGGCGTATTCTTATCTCTAGTGAGTGGTCCCAAGTTTCACCAAGATTACTTCCAAGGTACGTTGTTCTTGTTACTTTTTCCAGATCTGTTTCGTCGACATTGATCTTCACCCTCCTGTTTTGGTGCTTGCTGATGACCATCGTTTGTATCTTTTTTGTATTCAATTTCATTCCAAATTCTCTACAGGCTGTCGTTACTCGGTCCATTAAGCTTTGCAGGGCTTCAGCATTATCTGCCAGTATGACAGTGTCATCAGCATATCGCAGGTTATTTATACATTGCCCGTTTATAATTATACCATCTGAGGTGCATTCCAAAGCTTTCTGAAATATCTTCTCAGAGTAAACATTGAACAGCAAAGGTGATAGGACACGTCCCTGTCTTACTCCCTTCTCGATATTGATTTTTCCAGATGTTTCGCTTTTAATTCTGATTTTAGCCTTTTGTTCTTGGCAGAGGTTTGAAATGATCCTTAAGTCTTTATCGTGGATATTACATGACCTTAAAATATCTATTAGTTTATCATGTTTCACCACGTCAAACGCCTTCTGAAAGTCTATAAAACACAAGTATACATCAGAATCGACATCTCTACATCTTTCAACTAGCACACGTATTGAAAAAAGTGCTTCTCTTGTTCCGAACCATTCTTAAAACCAAACTGAGTTTGACCAGTGTGTTCGTCTAGTTTATTGTATACTATATTGTGTATTACTCGTAGGAAAAGCTTGGAAAAGCACATTTCTTGGAGTTTCTCTTCTTTGGTAGTGGTATAAACACCGATGTCAGCCAATCATTTGGTCTTATGCCTATTTCGTATATTTTGTTAAATATATCTTCCATTACTTCCATGTGTTTGTCTAGTAATATCTTTATTATTTCAATTGGGATATTATCTTGCCTAACAGCTTCTCCGTTCTTTAACTGATTTGTCGCTTTGATAATTTCCTACTTTGTGATATAAGGTCCAGTCGATGCCTCCTGCATGTAAATGTTCGGCCTCTCTCGGTCTTG